TGGCAAGAGTAGTCGACTATAGCCTTTTGGGTAGTCAACTACAGGTTGACACTACCCTTAGCTATAAAGGGCAGTCAAACATTGATAGCTCCAACACTTAGGGGTGAGCATTCGGTTTATTCGATTAAAAATCAAACCGAATAAACCAAAATTTTAAAAACCGAACTAAAAAAATAAAAACCAAATCGAAACCAAAATTTAGAAAAACCGAAATAACCGAAACTGAAATTTTTTGTTCGATTTTCGGTTAAAACCGAATTTTAATAATATATACTTTATTATATATATTATGTATTATATACTATAAAATATATATTATGAAATCGAATTTTAGTATATTATATATTAATATATAAATATATAATATATTATATATTATATATTACATATTATATATTATATATAATAATAAAAAGTTCGGTTAATTCGGTTAACCGAAATTCTAATTCAAAAAACCGAAACCAAAATAACCAAAAACCGAAATAGCCGAACCGATTTAATCGAAATTTTCAGTTCAGTTATTCGGTTTTAACCGAATTATGCTCACCCCTACCAACACTTAGAAACCTAAGAATTTTCAATCTAATGATTTGAAAAACCTTCCTTTGGCTTTCAAATGATATTTTTATTGGAAGGGTTATGATCCATCATATGGATAGACAAACCATGCTAGATGGCTGGGTGAAATTTCAAAAATTTTTTAATCGTTTTGGTAATCGAATTCCTTATGTTTTGAAAAATTGCATTTTTTAGGGTTGGTCTTGCACTGAATCGGGCCAAATTTGAAACCAAACTAAGAGGGATATGTATACTTGATATGGATGCCACAGGCACATATCCCAAGGTGGAAGTTCATGCCCCAATCAGTCCTAAAACCAGCCTCCACTGAAGATGGCACACTGTATTCTTGAAGCCGATTTAGCAACATAGTTTTCTGCAAAACTGATATCCAACTGCTTGAATCGAACTGAGGATGATGAACCTAATATCCCCTGAATTTTTCTTGCAAAAATTAGAGGAAAAACTAATTTATATCAGTCCTAAATAGCTGATGTCGAACTAGGAAAAATTGGGAGACAAAAGGTTGTAGAGAGAACCAGAAATTGCAAAAATATGAAGTTGTCTTGGACTGGTCTGCCCCCTCATCTTTTATAATCTCTTATGGAGCTATCTCCTAATTTAATTACTTGATAATCCAGATTTAAATCAGATCTAGACTCTAATGAGAGATATACCTTATCTTCTTATAAGATTAGGTGCTCCATACCCAGATCCAAACCCAGATTCGCCCCATGTCACATGACTAACAACCTAACTAATCATATTAATTATGGGCCTTAGGCCCATCAGTTATAAGGCTCATGATTCCAGAGTGTTTATTGGCCCACTTAATCCTGATTTGTATGGCGTGGGACCCCACAATGACTTCACATAAGTCCACATGGGTTCGGCCTAAACTCTGTGAAAAGGTTTGGCCAAATTCACTACTAAACGCAGTGAATCCTTGAGCACATCACTATGGGATCAATATGAGCCCAACATTTACGCTTAAATGATCATTGAATTTAGCTATCCTATGAAGATCCAAGGATAATGGACTTAAGTAAGATAAAACCCATCAGGTAATCAACTCTTAATGGTCTCTTACACTTAATCTCTTAGCCCATAATGATTAAACACTACCCGACAGGGAAGAACCTCTCCCTTGGTTGCAAGGTGCAATGTCACACTCTTTACTCGGATGGATCCTGGGAATTAAAACCTTTTGTAAACATTTTTTCATAAAACATTAATATATATATATATATATAATATTATATCAAATAAATATATTTTGCAAAACTAAATCTCAAACACAATTGAAATCCACTGCTATCAGTTCAGATTTCTGTAAGAAAGAGTATAAGCTCTATCATTCACTTTTCCGACAAAGGGGTCGATCTTATTACTATGATCATCCACTCAGACTGTCCTAACATACCCAGGTTCTGACCCTTGATAGATATCACTGATTGACATATTAAAAACAACTCAATCCAACACCTAGTGCAATACCATAATCAAGTCTATGAGTTATGTGTAACTTTCCAGTTTTATCCATCAATATCTAAGGTCCAAGGCATAACCGGAAAATGGTCCGAATTCAATGTTTCATCCAAACACATACTACATGTGCTTCGGGTCTAACGCTAGCAGTTGAGACAAGATGCCACAACTTCTTTGACGGCACATCTGTGTCAACCTTGACAAGATAAACTCTCCAAGTCTATCCAACGGCTAATAACATTTTAAACTAACACAAGTCTCATATGTGTCCAATTTAAGGGGTAATTACACAGAAACATATCAATATCAAAATGAAACAATAATGCACTTTTATTTATTTACAATAAATGCATATCTGTACATCAATCTGATTGGAGATAAGGGCATACACTGTCTAACAATTTTGACATTTTAATTTCAATTTAAAATCTAGGAGAGCATAGGAACCAAAGATAAGAAACATAGACTCATGGGGCTTGATGCTTGTTCTTCTTGAATTGATTTAGCATGTCTTCTTTGGTTACCTTTTTACTAATTTACATCTTGGTTCTTTTCTTTTCTTGGAGATTCTTTCTTCCTTGGAGAGAGAGATAATGATAATGTTCAACTACTCACAAGCAATTCTTCAATTTTCTTCTTGGATCTGTTTCAGATCACCAAACAGGATGGCCAACAATTCCAGACAAATAGGTGAGATCTCTTTTGGGCTACTTTGTAATTGATTTTAGCACACTATTACATATTAATTGAAACATACAATTTTCAATAACAAATTTTTTTGCACTGTCTCTCGTATTTCAGTTTTTGTTCTTTGCTTATTTTAAGAGTTTAAAAAATAATTTAAATAATTTTATTAAATTATGAATCGTCTTCTAGGTCGAATGGTTCTGCCATTGGACCATCTGGGTCAAATGGTTTGACCACCCAAGTAAACGATATTTAGAGAACATTGTTTGTGATTTGTGAAGGCACCCAAACTGTTGTAGCCTAAACTAAAGAAGGGATCGATGACTTTAAATGCCATATGAAGAGAAAGCAAGAAATTCTCATGGTCAATCCTCCCAAGCAATGCAAAGATCAATGGATGAGAAGGCACATGTCTACCATATGGAACAAATGTCAACCAATAGTAATCTAATAATTTTAATATTTTATATATAATTTTCTTAAAGGTAAAAGACTTAAAATAAGATTCAAAGTATCAATATGTAACGGCCCGTATCGATTGATATGTATCATGCCAATGATTAATTGGTACGCCCATCAATAGGTTGTATCGTGTTTGACACTGGTTCAGAGGGTAGCCGGGCCTTAAACTGACCCCTCTGAATCGGTTTCGAAAAAACTAAATAAAACTTAAAAAAAATACCGATACACTAGTAAAGCGTATGGGCCTGTATTGATACTTTGAACCTTAACTTAAACATACCCTGAATTTTCATAAATTGACTTAAAGATACCTTAAATTTTTCAAATTCACTTAAATATAACCCCACTCCCACTGGACTTAAATATATCCTTCCTAATTAAAACGTTAAAAGAAAATCAACATGTGGCATTAGGTGAGTCATAAATTTTTAAAATTCTCGATTTTTCCTTCACTCTGCCAAAGTGCATAATTTTTGCAAATTAAACCTGAATTAGAAGAAAATAGCTGACCCCCAATGTTAGAATGTCACAAGTCCGGCTAGAAAATAGCTGACCCCCAGTATATCTTTTTCGGTACTTTGTAAAAAGTTCGTTGTTTAAACTTTTAAAGAGGGCATAGAACGGCAAGCCCCATGAACGTCAGTGGCTGAAAGTAGAAGATAACCTCTTTCACATCTTAACGAAGTGTAGAAGCGTCTTTCACTCTTTCTGTTTGAACTCTTTAATATAACGGTGGAGGTATGTTAAAATCCAGGGTATGTTTAAGTCAAATTATGAAAACTCAGGGTATGTTTAAGGCTTTTATCCTTTTCTTAAATATTCTATCACAACCATTCAAATTGAAATTCTTTTCATCAAAGGGCTGGAGGACACGATCCACATGGTACATAGTTTGAGCAATCAATCCATAACCCCCGGAAACAACTTTGTTCTCATAGTTTGTCACCTCAAACAATAAACTGCACGAGTATTCATTCGGAAATGATAGCTTGAGGGTTATCCTCCGATTTAACTATAAATGCAATAAACTAAGGTTTTAAAAACTGACCCGGAAACTTCAGGTCAGCGGTTCGACCATCCAGGTCGAACAGTTCATATTAGGAAAGGACAAATAGTATACGAGTCATGAAAAACAGAGAAAGGAGGAATGGAGTGGAGAAGAGTATATTGTCAGCTGAGAAAGAAGAGAAGGAAAGAAAGAAAGGAGAAAGGAAAAAAAAAAAATAGAAAAGAATAGAAAGAAAGAGTGAAGGAGGGAAGAAGAAGGAAGATGAGGAGAATGATTTCGACGCTCACTGGCAACGGCGACGGTGACGGCAATAACATAGCACAGATGACAGATCTCATACGAGTTCTCAGATCTCAGATCTGAGATAGATTTTTCATTTTTTCTCAGATATAGATTTGAGATCTTCTTCTTCTCCTTCTGAGATCTAGATCTGAGATCTGCAACTTTTTCTTCTTCTTCCTGGATATCAGATCTGAGTTCGTGTCTCAGATCTGCAATTTCTCAAACTGCGAACTGCTGTCCGGGTCAAACGAATCGATGGTTTGACTGTCCGGATCAGCGGTTTTCTGACGAAGTCAACAGTTTTTGATCCAAGAGCAGGTCAGGGGTGAAACGGAACCGATTGCTTGAACGGTTTTCGGGCTGAACGGACTGCCTTCCGTGTCAACGGCTGTTCAAAAACATTATTGAGAAGAAAATGATGTTAAACTTTTTTTTAACCCCAAAATTTACTTCAGATCGAGGGACGACCACCTTAAATTTTAATAACCATTATCAAAAACTAAATAAAAGATAACAGGGAAAGACATAGCCCGCCTTGCCCCAAACCAAGAGAAGTACAATTCATCCAATCCCAACACATACAATCAGAAATCCAAACGCAATATAGGAACATTAATATAATCCTGTCGACAAAGAGTAATGAGAGCTTGAAGAAGGTGAGAGACGGCATCTAATATGACCAACCTGTTATCCTCAATACATTTATTGGCAAGATCCCTAACTTCTGACACTTTTCTAGCAGTGCTAACACTTTTGGATGGCATGTTTGTCTTCATTATATATATTATATATACTTCAATTAATCTGGTGTTCAAAATGGTTAAAATAATCCAACAATACTTGAGTCATGTCCAGAAGATAAGCGATCAAGAGCTGAAATAAAAGGTTTACGAGGTAGGTGTACCAAGATCTCTTATGAGAAAATGAAGGTGTTGTCTCAAGTTCAGTACCTGCCATGGCAACATATGGCGCCAAGATATTAACAATACAAGAAGAATCTTCTCTAAAATAGAACTTTGAAGCAATAAATTGATAGATGATAAGTGTTACATATATCAAAAATTACCACTGTTGGTTTGATCAAATTTAAAGTACCCACCAATACCAAAGTTGCTTGGATTTCTCATACTGCATTCGCAAAAGTTCAACAATTTGATGTGATCTATGGGAGGGGGCAATCTAGTCAATTAGTCTACTAACCCTAATTGTTGAATGAAGACAAGGGTACAAGGAAGAATCCATTGACAAAGAAATCATATTTTCATAATTTTTAGTGATTCTAATTTTGGTCAGATTGAGTTTTCTATATCAATTTATTAGTTTCTAGTAAATAGGATTAATTGCCTCAAAAAAGTCGAACTATTAGAAAGATTTTAGAATTTTGAAAAGTTGAAGATGTTTATTACAGTGGCCCTCCACCGGGAGTTAATTTTGGGGTTAAGAAAAAGAAAAGTTGAAAAGTTGAAATGCAATCGTGTCACCTTTCTTTTAACCTATATTGGAGTATTTTTGTATTTTTCTTATCTTTTTATTTGTACTCTGTCACTCTAAGTATAAATACTAACTTAGGTGCCGCCAGCCATTGTACATTTGGAAATAAAACTCTTTTCTTCTCTTTTCTGCTTTCTTTCCCCCTTCTTTCTTTTCTTCCTTTCTTCTTCCTTCTCGATGGACTACATGGTATCAGAGCATTGATCCGGGCTTAGGCTTCTCAGATCGAGTTTTTTCATCTGAAACCTTTACTTTTGACTGGAAGAAGAATCAAAGTCTCATCGTACTGAACTAAGCTCGTATTTCTGTTTCTTTCCTTTTTCTCTCTTGGTCGTTGTAACAAGAGGAGGTTTTGTGGTGCTTTTGGTGGTAGCCGAATGAGATGACCCGCATTCTTTGGTGTTTTCCCTCTCTCTTATGGACTGTGGGTTAGGAGTTTAGTGATGTACACCAGGTAATGCACTGTTAATTCATGTTTCGGTGCGCTATAGCAGTGAATGTTATAGTTTGGAGTTGTAGGGACTAGTACTCTTTGTTGCTATAAGCTGATAGTAATTCGGCTAGGGTTTTTTGACCTCAGTTCTACAGAGTTGGTTTATTAAAGCCTCTCTTTATTTGAAGGTAGCTGAAGTTCTGTTGTTCTCTTTGTTTGAGTGTTGTCCTCTGTCTGGTTGGATTGTTGGACTATTTTTTTAATAATAACAGTGTTGTAGAGGTACAGTGTTTGATGAGTTAGAATCTAGAATATGGATGGCCAAATTTCAAAAATTTTCTAACCTGACTCGGGAACCGATTTCCCGGATATTGAATTTTGAAAATTCTGGATTGATCTTGCACTAAACTAGACCAGATTTGAAACTGGAATTAAAACTAATTATACCTGATACGGAGTCCACAAATCGCAATTCGTAGTAGTAGTTCACACCCAAAATCAGTCCCAAAAACCGGCCTCTAACTGAAGATGGCGGAGTGAAATGAGAAGCCGATTCAGCAACATTGTTTTTTAGCAAAACTACTATCCAACTACCTTGGATCGACTGCAATTTGTGAGCCTAATTTCGCCAACGGTTGCTTGCAAAAACACAGAGGGAAAACTGATAAAAATTAGTTCTTACAATGACTAGGTCATGATACGATTTCTAGGAGAGAAGAGAGAAGAGGAAAGAGCAAGAGAGGAGGAATACAAGTTATGTTCGCCCTCTTCCTCTTAACCCCCTTATGTGGAGCGCTCTCCTAATCTAATTAGAGGATTATCCAAATTTGATTTGGATCTAAACTCTTTTAATAGATAAGCATTATCCACTTAAGAGGATATGTGCTTCATACCCAAAACCATGCCCAGTTTCGACCCTAAGTTGTCATGTGACATCTTAACCAATCTCATTAGTAATGGGCCAAAGGCCCATTTTCTTTAATGGCTCACGTCCCTATGTGTTGCATGGCCACTTTGGGCCTAATATTGTATGGTGTGGGACCCCACAAAGGTCTCACACAAGTCCATGAGGGTTCGGTTCCACCTCTGAAAGAGGTTAGGCCGAATTTAATGCTCAGGGCAATGAACTCCTAAGCCAATCAGCATGGACTAAGTTTAGGTCCAACATTTATACCTAAATGATCATTGGATTCAGCCACCCTATGAAGACCCAATGATAATAGACTTATGTGAGATAAAGCCTATAAGGTAATCAGCCATGTAATGACCTCTTGCACTTAATCTCTCGGCCCATAATCATTAAAGCACTGCCTAAAAGGAAGAACCTCTCCCTTGAATGCAAGATACATTGTTACACTCTCTGCTCGAATTTATCCCGAGATTAAAATCTTTTGCAAACCTTTTTTCAAAAAATAGTAGTTCAATAGTATATAAATATATTTTGCAAAATTAGATTTCAAACACAGACGAAATCCACTACCGACAATTTAGGTTTTCATCCGAGAGAGTGCAAAGCCTGATATTCACTTTGTCTAACAAAGGGGTTGATCCTATCATTATGATTACCCACTCAAGTAATTTCCCAAATTGCCCCAACATACCCAAATATTTTGTTCACCTATCTCCAAGGTCCAGGGCATAACTAGAAATTGGTCCGAGTTCAGTTTTTCTTCCAAACACACACTACCTGTGCTTGGGGTCTAACGCTAGCAGTTGAGAAATCTACCCCAACTATTTGGCAACACACTAGTGTCAGCTTTGTCAGGATAAACTCCCCAAGTCTATCAAATGACTGAGAACATTCTAAACTAACATGAGTCTCATAAGTGTCCAGTTTAAGAGGTAATTCACAAAAAAAATACCATCATTAACATGAAACAATAATGTACTTTATTCATTCGGAAATTTGATTTGAGCTAAGGGCATACACTGTCTAACATACAAAACGCCAATTTTCCAGTCCTGTTTAGGAAATTAGCATCAATACAGTGAGTGTCCATTGAAGATTTAGCATATTCTGACATTACTTCTCCTCAAGGAACTCTGAATGGAGGGATGAACAACATAAATTTCTCGATATGTCCATCACTCGCTTTGATGGACTGAATTACTTAGAACGCCAAAGGTATTAAACTATACGTGAAAGCTAGGGGAAAGGCTGGTTATATATGATAGATGGGATCAAGAGAATAGTATGGTTATCTCATTTGTCTTGGGTTCTATGCTGGCTCATGTAAAGAAAAACTTCATATGGGCTGATACAGCTTGTAAGATTTGGGAATAGGCCAAGGAAACCTTCCCAAAATAGAGCCATTATGCCAATATATACCAACTTCAAGCAGAATTATCTACTTATAAGCAGGTAGACCATAGCTTATCTACCTACTATTCAGCTCTTACCTCTATGTGGAAGCAGATGGACCATTACCAGACCAATGAATGGAAGAATGATGAGGATGCTAAAGATTATAAGAAACTTATCTATCAACAACATGTGTTTGCCTTCTTGTTGGGGCTGAACCCAGTTTATGAACCACTTTGAGTGCAAATTTTGGGAAGTAGTGAGTTTCCCTCTGTACAATAGGTATATGCCTTGGTTCAATCTAATGAGAGTAGAAGAAATTTAATGAATGCTTCTAATAGGGAGCAATTAGTTGCCTGACCTACAAGAGGGGGCAACACTGAAATAAAAAGAGGCACTTAAGAAAAAATGATGACTAGGATAAACTATGGTGTACACACTACCAAAAGTCCAGACACACACAGGAGACTATGGTGTACACACCACTATTACTAGTCAAAGATCAATATCTCCACCACTGATAGATTATGAATCAGTCTACTAAGAGTCAAGTGTGGTTGTGGCATATACGCCTTGGTCATTTGTCTTTTGAGTCCTTGAAAGTTAGGTTTCCTGATCCATTTAAGTTAGTGTTTACATCTGGATTGCAATGTAGAACAAGTTTTTCTTCGAGCAATAAAAGATCCATTTTGCCTTTCCATATTGTGCATTCTAATGTTTGGGGCCCAGTGAACATACCCATTGAGAGCGGATATAAGTACTTTATTAGCTTCATTGATGATTATTCCTAGATATACCCTATACATTCCCAAGAATTGTGAAAACCCTATGCATTCCCAAGAATTGTGAAGGAATTTCATCACATGGTTTTCATTTAGTTTCATGTTGGGATACAAACTTTCTAATCAGATAATGTGAGAGAATATTTTCATTATGATCTAATTGACTTCTTTACATCTCAATGACTTGTTCATCGAAGCTCTTGTGCCAAAATACCACAACAAAATGGTGTTGTAGAAAGAAAGAACCGACATTTTCTTGAAGTTGCCCGTAGTATGATGCTTCATAATGTTCCCAAGCAGTTCTGAGTTTATGTTGTCATGGCTGCGGCTTATGTCATTAATCACATGCCCTCTTGTCTCTTACAATACAAATCTCCACATTAATTCTTGTTTTCTCAATCTCCTTGGTTTTCTATTCTTGTGCATGTGTTTGGTTGTGAATGCTTTGTTCATGATTTGTTACCCAATCAGGGTAAGTTGGAGCCCAAGTCTATCCCGTATATTTTTTTGGGTTACTCGTCCTCAAAAGGGCTACAAATGTTTTAATCTTGTCTATCACAAGTATTTTGTAACAATGGATGTATCCTTTTTTTATTCTAATCCTTTCTTCCCAGCCTCTCCCTAAGGGGAGAATAGGGTGTAGGATGAGAGGCAAGTTCCTCAAGTTCTACTCCCTTTCAATCCTGACTCCACTCTATTTCATGTTTTTCTGAGGCACCGTAAGGGATAACTGAGTTCAAAGGGTGTGGAGCAGCGAGAAATTGTGCATCCAACATCATCTAAATCCTTGGAGGCGGATCTAAGTACCCTTGATGTTACTATTAATAATACTACCGATGACCTTAATGTTCCCACTGCTCATAGAAAGTGTGTTAGATCATGTACTAATAAACATCCTATTGCCCCTTTTTTGTTTTATGAAAACATCTCACCCTCATTCCA